TGTTCGTCTTTTCCCCGGGCGCTCGGCCCCTGGCCACTGTCAGACAGGGTGCTGGGCAGCCCCCACTGCTGCTCTGGCCCACCATGGCAGCTCTTATGGGCAGCTGCCCCACTGCTGGCTTGCTTGGGGCGGGCCCATTGGCTGAAGGCCCCTCTGGCTCACGTGGTGAGGGATGCAGAGGTGGATCAGGGTCTGGCCCCTCTGGAATGAGCAGGTAGTGCAGTTAACACCCATGACTTCCATCTCTCACCCGCTGCGTGACGGAGCCTCTGCAGGCACACCCCTCTGCAAGAGGCCGTTCTGCTGAATCCCTTTGGGCTTGGTGTAGGAGATTGAGCGGCGGCGCGGGATGATGCGCCAGCGAGCCCAGGAGAGGAAGAATGAGGAGATGGAGGTGATGGAAGTGGAGGACGAAGGCAGGTCTGGGGAGGAGTCTGAATCCGAGTCGGAGTACGAGGAATACACAGACAGTGAGGATGAAATGGAGCCGCGCCTCAAACCTGTCTTCATCCGCAAGTACGCTGGGCAGGGGACTTGCTTGCCCCCAAGGAGGGCAGAGTGCCAGCTGAGCTGGGCGGTGCACAGGGTCAGCCTGTGCAGAGGGGCGGTGCCAGTGTTCCAGGCACTACGTAGCTGGGAAAGCAGCCGGGACGGCTGGCTTGGCACTTGTCTGCCTAGCGGAGCGTCACGGCTCTGAATGACCCTGCAGGGCTCGCAGGCTGCTTGCGCTGGCCCTTTTGGGTGGGTGTCTGGCGCTGAGGAGCAGAGTGACAGGAAAGGGTTCTTCCCCCATAACCGAGCTGGGGCGAGGCCCCTCAGGAAGTCACAGCCGGGATGCCTAGGGCAGCGCCCTGCAGGTGAGCATCCAGGGGCGGACGCTGGCATGGGGCTCAGAGGGCTGGGCAGGTGCAGCGGGAAGGGGAAAGGAACCTGGGATGGCCTCTCTGCTGCAGGAAGGATCGCGTTACAGTCCAGGAGCGTGAGGCAGAGGCATTGCAGCAGAAGGAGGTGGAGCAGGAAGCCAAGCGGCTGGCAGAGGAGAGACGGAAGTACACGCTCAAGGTACCGGGGGCAGGAGCCGTGGGAGGGAAGGGCTGGCCTGCCGCAGGCCCAGGGCTCAGCGTGGGTGTCTCTGCAGATCGTGGAGGAGGAGACGAAGAAGGAGCTGGAGGAGAACAAGCGCTCGCTGGCTGCGCTGGAAGCACTCGACACCGATGACGAGAACGACGAGGAGGAGTACGAGTCCTGGAAAGTGCGTGAGCTGAAGCGCATCAAACGGGACCGCGAGGAGCGAGAGGCGTAAGTGCTGCTGTCGCTAGTGCTGGTCCCAGGGCATCTTTCCTGCTCTGCCTAGCCACTGCAGCCTCAGGCCGAGCGGGGCCACCCCCTTTATTCGGTGTCTGCCCCTGGAGTTCAGTGGGCAGTGGCACCGCGAGCTGCTGACTCTGGCTGGGCTTGCAAGTGGGCTGAGCGGAGGGCGTGGGGTAGTGCTGGCTGACGGGCGTTGTGCCTCGCGCAGATTGGAGAAGGAGAAGGCGGAGATTGAGCGCATGCGGAACCTGACGGAGGAGGAACGCCGTGCCGAGCTCCGCGCCAATGGCAAGGTCATCACCAACAAGGCAGTGAAGGGCAAATACAAGTTCCTGCAGAAGTACTACCACCGCGGGGCCTTCTTCATGGTGAGTAGCTGCAGGCCGGCCGGGGCCAGGGCTGGCGGTTTGAGGAGCCGCCTCGTTTTCAAGGGCTACAGCTGTAGAGCAGCCACGAGCTCTGCAGGAGAGCAAGATGAGCATGCTGTTTGAGATGGGTGTGATTTGGGCTTGCCTGAAGATGAGGCTACGTTAAACAAGGGAGATGCAGGCTGGACACCAGGGAGTTTCTTGGCAGTGAAGTTGTAACGCGACCTCGGGCGAGGACCGACAGATCTGCTGGATGGCTCGTTGCCATTTGATCTCATGGGGCCCAAATCCTCTCCATTTCCCTTTCTCTGTCACTGTCAACCCAGCCTTCCCTGGCTCTCAGGCCCAGCACCATGGGTGAGGGGGCTGAGCCTCTGTCTTCCCTTCCTGCCTCACTGCAGCGGCAGCCTCTGCAACATGCTGTGTCAGCCCTTTGCCTCATCTTTCGGACACGCTGTCCCTAGTCCCTCCTTTCCTGGATCCTGGGCGGGCTTGTCACAGAAGCCGAACCATGTGGCCCGTTTTGTCACGTCTAGCACGTCATTGAAGTTAGCCTCGCCAGCCTTCTCAAACAGTTCCCTGCTTCAGCTCCTTCCCAAAGCCCCGCCCGTAAGGAACAGCCCAGCGGACGCATGCTCCATCCAGTAGCGGTGCCTGTGGCTGTCTGGCTTACCCGCGAAGGCACGGGCAGACTTGGTCAGTCTCTGCCTACCGACCCGGGGACAAATGTTTGCCAGTGGGCTCTGCAGTCCAGCAGCAGCAGATGTAACGTGGGCCAATGGCTGGAGGGCGTAGCTAGACACATTCAAACAGGAAGCTGACTGATGGGCCCTTGCAGACCTGCTCACGGTTTGTTGTCGTGTGTAGCCCAGGGCCGTCCCTCGGCTGTAACACTCCCCTCTCCCCCAGCGTCAGCCCCCCGGGCAGGAGGGGCCTTGTCTGTGTTTAAAGTGCCTAAGCGAAGACACAGGGTGGGCACCGCTCTGAGCAAAGCCCTGAGCTGGTGAGACTCGTGCCGTAGTCCCTCGGGACGGCCTAGACGGGACTGGAGCCTTGTCTGCATCTGTGAGGGTCTGACCTGAGCAGGGAACTCCTGCAGCCGTGCCATGTGGCCAGCTGACAATGGCTCTGCCACGTCCTTCCCTCCCTAGGATGAAGATGAGGAGGTGTACAAGAGAGACTTCAGTGCCCCCACGCTGGAGGATCACTTCAACAAGACCATCCTGCCCAAAGTCATGCAGGTGGGTGTGCTGGAAACGAGCTCATGGGGGAGGGGTCTTGGATGGCATCTGTGCACTAGGGTGACATGGAGGCCTGGTCCATGGGGAGGGGGGGCTGCAGGTCCTGCTTGTATGAGGAGGGGGTGTCGGCTCAATTTTTTTCTTCTCCCTAGGTCAAAAATTTTGGGCGCTCGGGGCGGACCAAGTATACCCATCTGGTGGATCAGGACACAACCTCCTTTGACTCTGCGTGGGGCCAGGAGAGCGCCCAGAACACCAAGTTCTTCAAGCAGAAGGCAGCCGGCGTGCGGGACGTCTTTGAGAGACCGTCGGCTAAGAAACGGAAAACTACCTAGAGCTGCTGTCTGGCCGGCATGCTGCTGACACCGGAGGGCCCCGCGGCCTCACCCTGCCAGAGACCCCGAGGTCCTGGCCAGTTCTCCTCCTCTCCGGCCGGAGTGGGTGTTGCCTCTGGTGACCTTGCCCCAGGGGGGAGCTCAGACTTTCCAGCGGTTCTACCCTTGGCATGGGCCTGCCAGACCCGGTGCCCAATTGCTCTCGTCCCCCAGCCCTAAGGGGTTAAAGCGCTCCCTAGATTCCCACTGTCAGAGGCCAGCAACCACCACCCCCTTCCCTTGGACTTAGCAGGCTGTAGGTACCTGGTGCTCCAGAACATCTCCTGTGGGGAAGGGAGCCCCGCCCCTTTTGGTTCTCTGGAACAGCTGAGAGTCTACTGTGCCCTGCCCGAGGGGCTTTGCAGCCCCTTTTGCCTAGCCCACTGTGGCTCGACGCTCCCATCCCCAGGCACTGGGGGCTGGGGCTCTGCCAGGCCCCCGAGGCACAAGGTGAGTTTGAATTAAAAGTTGTTTTCTCACAAGAGTGGCTGGGGTGTGGCTTGGGAGGGGTGGGGGGAGCTGAACCAAGGCCCTCTCCCTTGTGTCTGCTGGGGGCTTGGGTAACTGAATGCAGCCTGGTGCTGGAGGTGGATGGAATTCTGGCTTTGAGGAAGAAGCACTCAATGTAACAGCACTTCCGTCTGGCCTGCCTCCCCCACCTGAGTACCCTGCGTGGTGTCTGCTCGCCCGTGGGCGGCCTGTGGGCTCATACCCCATCCTGGCACTGGGGTAGCTCTGCCCCTCTAGCAGCTGCCAGAGAAGAGCTCACTAGACTGCCACTCGAAAGGCCCCTGTCCCTCGTGGGAGCCAAGGTGAACACCCGGCTCCCTCCCAGGGCACAAGCTAAAGCTTGTGTTCCCTCTGACCCTTCCATTCTACGATGCCTTTAAGCACCCTGCCACCTTGTTTTGAAACCAGCCGCTCCCCCGGGGCCTGACGAAGCAGGCGGCTCTGGGCTGCTGAGGCCTTGAAGCACTAGTAGGGAACTCAGCAGAAGGCAGAACCTCCCCTTCCGCTAACTCAGGACATAGCACAGTGTAAATATACAGAGCACCCCTGTGGATTAAGATCTGCCAATACCATGTGAGACTGAAGACAGTGGGGCTCAGCTTAAGCGCTAGCAAGCTAGCTCAACCTAAGCCTGGGAGCAAGACAGAGCGCTGGAAGGGAGGAAGGGAACAAAGTTTCTCAAGAACCATTCAGCAGGGGTGGGAAGAGATACCTCTGCTCTCCCTTTCTGAAAGCTCAGCCATTGTCTTCTGAAGGGGTTTGTCTCGTGACACAGTGCCCATAGCTCGCACACCAGTGCACCGTGGACTGACCCAAGCTTGCTACAACTGGTGGAGTTGTTGCATGCTCTTGCACGGAGCTCAGCGCCTGTTGAGCCTTGTTTTATACACTCTGCCCACAGAAGATTAGCGCGCTCTTTATTTCAATAAGTTAACACATAGCATTGACCAATCTGGCTGTCCCACCACTATCACGAAGGCTGTGCTCAGGACAGGGCTGGCAGCACAAAGACTTTGAAGTCCCAGCAAGAGTTTTCCTCGTTCTCTCCCCAAAGCACCAAGCAGTCCCGTAGGAATGTGCTTAGTTGGTGAGGGTGATCAGAGCCTCCACCACGTTCCCCATATGCTCCCGCAGACTGCGCTCTGCTGCTGCCCGCGAGATCTCCATCTCGTTCATCTGCAGGGAGGGAGCCAAGGGAAGAGATGCTGCACCACAGGCCTCGCTCAAGGCTTGCTGCTGCAGCATCACTGAAGCTGGCACCAAGCGTACACATTTGCTGTCTCTGCTGCACTGCAGTGCGCCAGGAACACAAGTGACTTTTTACAGCCCTTTGTCCTCCGGCTGCAGTGCACGTATTCTGAGCCCCCGAGACTGAGTAAATAACTTGACTGAGATCTGGGCTTGGCCTGCCCCAGCCTCGCTCTTGGCACCACTTCCTGCCATACTCACAATCAGCTCCAAATCTTCCTTCTTGATTGTAACCTTTGCCAGTTCTTTTTCCCTGTGACAAAAGGAATCAGAAGATAAAGTACCAATCTTACAGACTCCCCTTTGCAGAGCAGCTCAGTCACAACTGTCAAATACAACCAGAGCACTTGCAGTAGCTCTTTGCTGAGACAAAGCCACTGTTATTGAGACTGGCCATGGATAAGCAGAAAGTTTAACTAGAAAAACTACCCAGAGCCTTTAGAGGAAGATTCTGCATGTGCAGAACCAAGCCACATAGTACCGGACCAAATGGCTTAGGACAGGGGTGTGGGCTGCTGACCCATTACAAAAAGGATGTGGACACATTGGAGAGGGCAACCAAAATGATTAGGGAGCTGGATCACATGACCTATGAGGCGAGGCTGAGGGACTTGGGTCTGTTTAGTCTGCAGAAGCAAAGAGTGAGGGGGGATTGGATAGCAGCCTGCAACTTCCTGAAGGGAGGTTCCAAAGAGGATGGAGAGAGGCTGTTCTCAGTAGTGACGGATGGTAGAACAAGGAGCAATGGGCTCAAGTTGAGGTGGGAGAGGTCCAGGTTGGATATTAGGAAAAACTATTTCCCTAAGAGGGTGGTGAAGCACTGGAATGGGTTCCCTAGGGACATAGTGGAGTCTCCAACCCTAGAGGTGTTTAAGTCTCGGCTTGACAAAGCCCTGGCCGGGTTGATTTAGGTGGGATTGGTCCTGCCTAGAGCAGGGGGCTGGACTTGACCTTCTGAGGTCTCCTGCAGCTCTGTGGTTCTAGGATTCTCTAAGTTCTACAGGAGAGGTGCAGGGAGCGGTTACCTCTCTTGCCTCGCCTTCTGCTCTCGGGATCGGCGGTCTCCAATCACGGACATGGCCTGGGGGAGAAGAGGGAAAGGGGGGGGGAGCCACGGCTCAGGAAGGCACAGCCAGGCACAGCTGGACCCTCGATGGAGGAGCCCAGAACATCCCGCAGGGCCCCCGCCCGTGCCGGCCCCGCCCCTGTCCAA